ACTCTGAGTGATGCCAACCCTGTCAGTCATTCAGATCTCTTACCATCAAACTCCAGACGAAACGGGAGGCGGACTTAGAAAACCTCGTGAACGAATACGAGTCAACAGTGCGCGTATTAGAATCACACACCGACCAGCTCACAGGGGTAAGGGCTGTTTCAGTATTAAAAATATACACAACTCTGCACACCAAATTATATGTTTTTGCCTTGATGTGCGTCTGTTGTTTGGTATATGTTCACGGGAATACACTCGCAGCTATGCATGTAGAACTACATGGCGCATAGCTGGGATTCGACATGGCGATGTACTACCCTATCGGTGTGCTTGTATGGTGCTCACTTTAACTCCTACTGAAAGTCTTCTTGTCTCTGGTCTCGTTTCTGTCACGTAAGAGTGGTATCCATGCGTGCAAGGTGTAACAAACGTTGAAGTAATATGTGAGCTGCGTATCTTGCGTGATGTGACTGTGACAGTAGCGTCTTCTGCGACACTGGCATCGTGTTATGTTTGCTAGGCTAGTTTTCATCGGCACGAAGTCAAAGTTCGTGCTCGTACTCGCGTGCCGTTCACGTATTGCTCTCTACTCCGATGGCAGTTTTCACGGTTGGCAAGCATACTCAGCTGGCAATGAGAGTTGGTACATACTACTACCATGTGCGATTTGAGGGCAGTATCTCGATTGTGCATTCTGCTGTCGGGTGCAAGATTATGGAGTCCAGCTTTTCCACTGCGTGCTAACAGTTTGATTGTTTATTAGTTATTTCATGTACCATTCCCTTCACATTTCATCTGGTAGGCGACGCAGATGTCCCGATTACAACACGAACTAACTGAAGCCAAGGCTCTGAATGCCGAGTACGACCTCACACTTCAGAAGATGGAAGCTGAAATTAATGATCTTACAGGGGTAAGGAACCTCGGCAGAACCTATTTTACAAGTCCATAGTTTCGCCCGCAGTCAATATGAAGTTACATATTATTATTTTTCTATGGACATTAGATGTGCCTTGTTCTCGTAACATGTCTGTGTATGGGGTTGAGGTTCTGCGTGCGCATCTGATGCGTTCTCTGTGGCGGACAGTAGTGGTATATGTGGGTATGTAATGTTCTGTGTAGACTAGTGGGAATGTGCCAAGGTTTTCTGCTATGTCGGTCATTTACGTAAGCGTTGCAAGCATGAAAATGTTGGAAGGATATAGTTGAGTCGTGCGCGATTATCGTTTCTTATGTGTACCCTTTCGCTTGTCGATTGCTTCAATCGAGTACAGTAGTAAACTTGCCGATTACTGCAATCCAGCCCAATAGTCTCATTTATTGGTACATAAGACCTAACTTCACGTGCGTATGTTATGAGGACATTAATATACATTTTTACATAGATTTAATGTACAAAACACGTATGTATATATATTGCGTGATCAACTCATCGTGAGTGCTTTTTATAATCTTTCACTTCTGTCTCAAATTGCTGACTATCGCTTACAGAAATTGACCGCACGAGAAGCCCAGATAGAAGGTCAGATCGGCGCCCAGGCATCGATGGTAGAGGAGAACACTCGCCTTATTGAGAGGGAGAAGGAATGGCTGCAGACACGTCAAAATGAATTCCGTAAGTTGGTGTAAATGTTTTCGTGTGCGCACTATGCAGATAATCAGCGCGGGTTTGTATGTAGGTCGTGCAGAGAGGACTGTATTTATATCTATACCCATGCACATCGTCTCGTCCATGTGCTAGCTACAACAATGGTGAGTATAGAACCTTAGAACGGCTGACAGTTTGCAACACCCTTCTGAACGTATCCGGGTGTAGGCTCACACCCGCGCTCTCATCAACCACACACAGTGACGGTACAAACATTGGAACTGCGCCACGAAGAGGACCAAACTACTAAGGAGGCACTAAAGGCGCAGATCAACATGATGCAACAAGCACTGAACCAGCGATCACAGTCCGCACAGTCATCCACCGCTCCCCATGCGGACACACCACACGGCAGCACAGAAGAACAGGTTACGATAGCTACTCCACCCGCTTCAGATACTCAGCAAACGACTGAAGCCCCGCCTGCTGCGGCATCGGTGCTTGCGGGTAATGAGCGGGTGAGCGCACTAGAGTCGCAGGTATTGGAGTTACAAGCTGCTGTCGACAAGAAGACCAGCCGTGTGCAAGAGTTGGAAGCGGAACGGCAGGACTCAGCAAACGCTAAAAGTGCAGCAGGGGATGCGGACAGCGATACAGTTCCCCGTACAGATATCGATGCTGAGGCGAAGGAAAGGGAGGCTGGGTTGCAGGTACGTATAGGTGAACTTGAGGCGGTTGTCGTTGAGTTGCAAGGTGTGGTGTCCGAGAAGACAAATAGAGTAAAGGAGCTCGAGGCGCAATTGGATCAAGCAACAGATACCGGGGAAGTCAGCACTCTGAGAGCTCGGGTAGATGAACTCCTGACGGTTATTGTGGAGTTGCAAGGTTCAGTGTCTGAGAAGACGGGTCGAGTAGAAGAACTCGAAACGCAATTGCACCAAGCAGCTGACAATGATGGGCTGGCCACTCTTACAACACGTATGGGTGAACTTGAGACAGTGATTGTCGAGCTGCAAGGTGCAGTGTCTGCTAAGACAAGTAGGGTGGATGAACTTGAAGCGCAATTGAGTCAGGCCACCGACAATGGGGAGGTGATCACTCTTCAAGGGCGTGTAGTTGGATTAGAAACAAGCTTAAGTGAGATGCAGGCGGCCGTACAGGACAAACAAAACCGGGTGACTGAGCTAGAAGCCATGACACAGGAATCAGCCGGAGCCTTAGCTGCGAGAAACTCGGAGTTGATGGCGACTAAAAACGCGCTGAGTGTAGATCTAGATGCTCTCAGAGTTGATTTGGAAGAGGCCCAGGCGAAAGGCGTCGAGCTGCAGGCTGCTGTGGAGGAGAAAACCACTGTAGTGGGAGAGCTCGAAACATCAGTACAAGAGGTATCAACGGAGAACGCTACTCTAAGGGAAAGTGTTCGTGGCCTGGAAAGCGAAGTTTCTGCCTTGACTGACAATCTAGAAGAGAAAGCACGCCGAATCGACGAATTGGAGCGGTTGCTGCAAGAAGCTTCTGAGGCAGCGGAGGCTGCAGCTGATGATGCGGAGAAGGCCGCTCTGAGCGACCTCGTTAACGAACTTGAGGATCGTATTGCGAAAATGCAAGATGTCATACACGAGCGAAATACTGAGGTTGTTCAGCTCGAAAAGAGTCTGGAGGAGAAATCCGAGGCCTTGCTTGAGATGGAGGTAGGTGTGTCTATGGTATGGTGTTTTCGTGCCTCGCTCTGCGTACTAAACATAGTTAGCTTCAAAGTGTGGGTAACAGCTTTGGGGTCGTTTCAGTTTGAAATTCAACAACGCGTTAAGCACAGGCTACGAAACTTTAAGCTTTGAAGTGCATGGTTTGATATGCACAAAAGCGTATACTACCCCAACTGACACGTCGCGTTCAAAAAGTGTGTATAAAAGCTATATTTCTCTAGAGAAAAGGTACATTTCTAAATCGGAAGACATATCGAGACTCACGTGCGCACATGACACAAAATCACTTGCATACATCGACACACACAAACAAGACGTACAAACCTTTCCAATGTTACGCTAATGTATTAACTTGTAACCATCCAATCATAAACATCAACAGAGTGCACTGGAAAGCGCAGAGGATGAAATTATCACTCTGAATGACGGCACAAGGCGGCTGATGGAAGCTATGGACGCCAATGCGGCTAGCAGTGTTGATGTAGAAGCTATACGTGCAGGTGAGTCATCTGAAACATAACTGTGTATGTACAGTATTCGCCCATATAGACAATGTGCAACTAACTTCAAATGATCATGCAATCGTACAAATTGAGGCATGAAATTAGCTCCCACTGGTGAATGCTGGCTGGTCAGTGTTCTAATTCTCATATTTTGCCCTCCTTGAGAGGCAGACACACTAGACCTGTGAACCAAAGTGGGCAAAAGTGCGACTGTACTCGATTATTGTACTTATTTATAACATTTGCTATCTAGAGTCCAAGGTGGCCATTGAGGCGATGGAGAAGCAGATTGATACACTTTCAGCCGATTTTGTCGTTCTGAATGAGAAGGCCAAAGGGTTAGTTGACGAACGCGATGCGCTCAAGGAGCAAATATCGGCGTTGACGGAAGAACGCGACGCAGCACTCAATGAGATTGCTGAGCTGTCACAACAAGTGAGTGAAAGTGTCTGTAATTTGGTTCAAAACTGAATAACGCCAACTACACAATGACAGAGATGGCGTTGATGTGGGATGGAAAATTTTAGCTATGACACTTCACGCGTTCAAAGTGAGGGCGATAGTGTATACCTTCTATTTACAAACACATTCTTTTAGAGAAGTATACCTTAGTTTGCTGGCTGTCTCAAGTTCTACTTTTTGGTGCAGTGTAAAAAAAAAAATTGTTTGATAAAAGACCGGCGTGGTTACTCTGCCTTTCTTGCACACATCTGTTCACAGAAGAATGACAAAGCCATGGAGGATCTTCTCGACGAAATGACAGAACTTGAGAATCGGATTGCAGATTTACAGGATCTTAAGGTGAGTCTTAGTTTCGCATATATATTAACTAAATATATACATACGTATATATATATATATATATATATTATATATATATATATATATATATATATATATATATATATATATATTATGTTATATTATATTATATNTATATATAT